AAAAAATCAGTTTTAATACAGAATTTTATTATTGGGGCCATTTTCACCTACCTGTCATTTGGGGCCATTTTTACCGGGGCCATTTTTTCCGTGGCCATTTTTCCTGGGCCATTTTTTCCGGCCATTCTTACTGTACACCATTACAACAGTTGATTTATCAAACCCAACATTAAAAGATGGTGATTGCCTTATAACACAATTAGTATAGATCATACACTAGGAGAAAATTATTATAATCAGGTTAGATTTAATGCGTTCAAAAATCTAAATCTAACCTTTGTATAATAATTTTCTGCTAGTGTACTCTGCGCAGCTCTACTAATTGCTTATTATTTTACAATGAACAAAAAAGTAAACATGACAGAATTACAAGTCAATAATGTAAAAATACATACTAATGTGTGCATTCATACCATTGAGCTATTAAACAACTAGAGTGCTGACAAGATGGCGTAGCAATGCAGAGTTATGTATGCGTACCATCCAAGATGGCCGTCGTAGTAAAGCGCCACCTTCATGCTTATTATACATATTATTACATATTAATAAGCCCTCTGACTGACTTATTATTTCATTAATGATAATGAGTAATGGTAATAACAAATTATTAAACTATTGTAGCCAAAACGAGGCAAGTGGAGCATCTTATTCAAAAATAAGTACCAAGGAATGAAAATTAAAATCGTGTACATTACACCCAAACACCGCAACGCTCGAGTTTCAAACATGCGGTAACTAGCTGTACTGAACTTTCTGAGTAAATTGAGGGCGCAATTGCAAATGATGGTGCTTAGCGAAATTTGATTGGCTAAATTTATGGCAGCCATCTTGGATGGTACACACACACAGTTCTGCGTATTTCGAACATCGAATACATTGCGGTTAGCGCTCTAGTATTCTTATTATATCTCTATGATTCATACAGAGTAGCTGCTGGAATAAATCAGTTTATTGCAAAAGTAGAAGTAACATTCGCTCTAGATGGTTTAAACTTACAGCAAGAATAGAGTTATCTGCATCACCTAATGAATTATATTTTTAGGCAATTGGAATTGTATACAGGTATATACAGTACTGTAATTCCATTGTCTTCTGCTGATAAGACAAAGCACTTTTCTACTTTCTTTAGTACTACTACAAAGGCAAAGAACAAACAAATTTGGCATGATGTTCCTACTGATGCCAACAGATTTAAGTCTTTTTGAGTAGTTCTCAATATGGGCTCTCTTAGTACTACACTGCAGTTGTGTCTACTGCTAATTATTATGAGTATTTCGACTTTTTTCAATTTGAAGAGAGAGCATTTTGAGAGTAATTCTTTAAATTCCTAGTTTCATTTTTGTTTGGGAGTTCCATCTCTGCTCATACATCTGCATGATGATTAAATGAAAGTTTTTTTTTTCTTTAAATATGTTTCGTTGTGGAAAAACAAGATAGCTATCCAAGTGTTTTTATAATTTTTAAGACAATCAAAACATATTCATTATTTTAGGAAGGTACAAGTCCTTGAAGGCATTTGATTGTTAAAAATAATATTTAATCTCCATCTGTTAGATTTTTCCAGTTCAAATAACATAAACACAGAACGCGTGTGCCTGTTACACAATTGGATCAAGCAGTTGATTCAAAACAAGTAGAACACTTGACTTTCTAGCAAACATCTGTATCCAAGATTAATTTGCATTACATATTATTATATGTCGATTAATCTGCATCATTCATGTTTGTTTTTAGAACAATTTAATCACTGTGATGTAAATATATAACAATATTTATTAATTTGATGTTGTCCTGATAAGATTTAAAATTTATTCTATAAACATTTTATGTCTCAATCTCTATTTTGATAGACTATTTTTCATGGATCTTGTGGTCATAATGCTATGTAATATTTGTGAAGATAAAATTTTGAGGGGAAAATAAAACAGTATAATATGTAAGGCCACAGTACTTTAAAAAAATGTCAAAGTTGAAGATTGTATTATAGGTAACTGATTTTATAGCTGAATATTCTGATAGTCATTTTCATAGGGATCTTGTGGTGATGAAGATGTAATAATTCCGGGAGGTAAAATGTTTAGGGAAATACTAAAAATAATGTATGTTTAAATGTATAACAGTATAATGTATAGGCCTGCTTAAAAAAATGTCTGACTTAAATATATTTCCCTATTTCCTGGTCTTTGCATATCATATTTTCGGGCAAAAATTGACAGATATGTTTAGTAAAACATCTGTGAATCAATTATTATTTATTATTTTATTATTTAGGCACACAACACATGCACCAAGGATTGTCAATTAGTGAATATATCACTGTCTTACTTTAGGTGACATTCCCTTTCAAAACTTGAAAGACAAGCACATGATGCTTTACACATACTAAACTCAATTGTAGGTTTAAGGAGTAGAGTTGTTTTTGTCTTGAGAAAACAAATCCTGCAACATCGACTCGGTAATTGAACCCAGGACCCTGGAAGGCAAGCATTTTAACTACCGAGCTATTCAACGCCACTCAAACATATTGGAAGATATAAACTGAGAAATGTGGTAGAATTAATAAATAACACTTGTTATTTCTCATAATTATGGGAAAAATCTGTAGACAGATTTCTTTATCACAGATTATGATAAAAGAAAACAGACTAGAAAATGAAACATTTGTAGTTGTGAATTGGAGCTTATCAATTGTATTCAATAGAGACTTGGCATGCAGCCTGTCAAATACTATGACATGCTTATAACTTCTTTATTAATGTTTTTCCCATAAAATCTACAATTCTGATAGTTTGCCATCAAAGTGTACCGCTTAAGTTTATGTCACAATGTAACAATTACAAACACTTGAAAAATGTAGCAGAACTGTTTAACCATTCTTCTTCTCCAAAACTATCCCCCTCCCTTCCCAACTTCCTACCCCGCTCCATTTTGATGAAGAACCATTTTGTAAAGTCTTGTGTAGACAGAAGCAAGACGGCATTTATTGATTTTAGCTGTATGTTCCATCTCCTAAAACCATCCTCCTCCCCTGCCTCACCCCTATTTGAAAGAACAACTATTAAGATGGGTCAAGACTTTTTTTTTAGTGAGCCTGCCGATAGCAAAAAATGTGATTTTGAATACTGTAAAAATAAAATGTTATTTCTGGCCAATCCCGTGGACCCTCTGCTACGAAAAAATGGAAATTTCATTTAAAATATATATAATTTTATATTTACTTTTATTATGCCCTGTAAATCTCTCCTCAGTAAATCTAAAAATGTTTTCCTTAATTATGTATGTCATCACTACACTGTGTAGTTCATTATTAACATTTTTTTATTATTTTCTTCTCCGCTTACATGGTTTTGGCAAAATCATTTTGCATGTGAAAACAAAATTAATTTTTATTTTTTTTCACCCTCCTCTGACGAACACAAGTTCGCAAAACAAGGTATAAAAAGGCCTGACCTAGACAGTGAACAGGACAGCATTTATTGGTTTTAAGTTTGCATGCAGTTCCTAACTAGCTGCTTACTGTATGATTTAATCCACACTTCATAAAAGCCACAAGCTCTATTATTTTCAGGAAGTACTGTACCTCTTGTATGGTGGGCTTTGTTGTAAAAAACTAATACAAACACTCTATTCTACGTAGTCTTCTCATGTGTATGATTATGTGTTGCATAAACCAATATTTTTTTATTGAGTTTTCTATTTCTAAATAGGAACAGTCTACTGGGTTGTTTTGTAGGCTGGTTTTCCAGGCCTGATAGTGCAAAATTTAAGATTATAATCCATCTTGAATAGAAGCCCTGGGCTTCATTTTTGTTTGTGAACTTTAGATGGGCTTCTTTTCGAGGCTGCTTTTGCAAAGTAATGAGGGGGCTTCTTTTAAAAATAGATGATGTAAATTTTGGGAATTACTAATCTAAAACAGTAAATATTGCCACTGTAATATTAGTCTGTATCATAGCGTGTATTGAACGGCATTATTAAATTACCTAAACTCCTGTATAAACCAAGCATGTTTTGAATTTGTTTTGTTTCTTTGAAATTCATGTACTGTGTATGTACAGTACTGTACTATCTTGAAAAGAAGCCCATGGGCTTCTTTTCAAGCCTACTTTTGTAAACTAAAGAGGGGCTTCAATTAGAGATTGGCTTCTTCTTGAAATTAAGCCCACTGGGCTTCTATTCAAGGTTTTACGGTTCCTATACCAATGAAAACTTAATGGTCATTTTTATTTTTCAAAAATACTACTGTATGTGTAAAACTACTTAATGGGTTTGATATGTTTTCACTATTTTTTTGTTTGTTGGTGAAATTGAGATTGTACAGGATATGTTTTTTATGGTATATGTCTGAACCACTGTACTTTCAAAACCACATTTTGTAGTGAAAGTAAATGAAAGAAAAAAATTGATAATATAATATTGCATCTTTTGGATAGGTACCAACGAATGCGCCAGCAACCCATGCCAAAACGGTGGCATATGCACTGATGCTGCCGACAGATACTTGTGCAACTGTCCTCAGGGATGGTTGGGTACAAATTGCTCAGAACGTAAGTGTTAATGTGCATTCAGATATTGAATGCTCATGAATTTTAAATAGTAATAATTATCTGTGTTCACATTAAAATAATGAAATAGTACTTTAAATTCTAGACTTTTGAGTATTTCAATAGTACGGCTCATCTATTTTTACTCTGCATTGGATACTGTAAGGATGAGGAGTAGAATCATACACTACTGCAGGCCTACAATATTGTGTTCACATTTTATAAATTGCAATTTGAATACAGTATATTGATATTTTTCATTCACATTAAATTCAATATTATTATATTTAATGAGCATTTTGTTACAAAATTAAATGTTAAGAAATGTTATTGACTTAATATAAAGTAATTTTTTGGCAATTTTTGAAAAAGTAGTGCCTGGCCTTAGAAGTCAATATTAAATTAAACTGTCAATGATTTTTTTATGCACTATTGGCTCTTTTATTTATTATTATGTTCAACATGCACTCAAAACTTTACTCTATTGCTCCTTACTAGACTATGATATTTGCTATTAATATTTTTGATTATTATTACTGTTTATAACACACCTAAATAAATGCCTGTCATTTGATTGGTGAATTTTTTATCATGTGACATTAGTTATTTACCCCATTTCTTCACTCATCATTAACATTTAATTCCATCCATGCATTTTCTTTCCATCCGTTTTGCCCATTGAAAGTTGCCTAGGATATGATATGACTTCAACTTAAAACAATTTTTTATTGGTTAAAAAGATGCTTGACTGTTCCATTTGGAAAAAGGGTAGATTTTTTTTTCATAAAATTACAAGAACCTGTATTCAGAAAAATGATAGATTTTTAAAATAAAATATTAAATGACAAGAATCTATTTTAGGTGTGTTTTAGAACAAATATTAAATTAATGTTTTTTATTCATGCAATAGAAAGAATATTTTTATTTGTTTGATTGATTGATGGTTCCATTTAGCTCAGCTCCGCATTATCGAATGGAACTGTCAGTCTTTGAACTCATGAAAATATTCTTCCTATTGTACTCAAACATTCATCATTTGTATAATACTGTATTGCAATTATTGATTTCTTCAAAATTTGCTGTTTGATTTAAATTGCATGTGCTTTCTACTATTACTGTATTAATTACTAAATAATATTTAATGATTATGGTTTTCAATTTTTTTTGATCGATGAATATTGCTTCAATTGATTTTAATTTGCTACTTGTAATATCGCTTGTTACCGTAACAATTAATTAGGCTACTATCTTATTAATTTATCTTTGCTTTATTAATTAAAATTAACATTTTAATTGCTATCTATTATTGCTAGTACTTTTGTTTACATTTGCTTGCCCCCATTAATGAAATCATCTCCCTTTCATTTTTAAACCATTAATTGTAGTGAACAATTTCTATATTCCAAAGTGTAATTTAATTAAATACCTAATTAATTATGAAATACCAATAACAGTGCACTGGATCTAAAAATGGATTTGGTGATGTCATCATACCATCCTGTGAGAAATTAAGGAAAGTTAAGATTATGATTTTTCAGAAAATAAAAAAATTAAAATTATTGACCATGGCACCATGGCTAGCTTTAGTAGTATGATATCTCATTTCTCTTCCACCCTGTTTCATCGTTTATAATTAATTAAGCATGGTTGATTTTGTTTAATATTCTTTCTGATAATTTGTAATATATTAAATGATGCTTATGCAATTAACCATAGAGTAATATAATTGAAAACTGGATAGATTCAGAAGTGTATTTAAAAAACTTGATTTTCACCTATACACATTGATTCATGTTGGCCCTGTATTACTTCAATTTTAATAACATGTTTGTTTGTTATTCCTTTGTCCTACAGTAGTAATAAAAACTTGCGTCAGGAACCTTGAGACAATTTTTGAGATTTGATGCTGAAATTTTGAATTATCAATATTAGCATTTTCATTTATGATTTGTTTGCCTTGTTCATTATAAATTATGTTATTTTAGATTACATTCATTCTACTAATTCAAAATGATACATATATATATGTTCTATTTGTTATTACATAAATGTATTGATAATTAATAAATTATATAAAGTTAATTAATTGTAAATCAATTCAGCTTATTAGGTTCAAAATTCTTTAATCCATAAGAAAATATAGACAATTTTCTTATCTTTTTATTCTTCAAATGAATGCTAGTACTGTAAGATTAATATTTCACATTTATTCTTTTGCTGCACATTTTTAATACCTAATATTCACAGCGGTGGATGCGTGTGTTGGTATCACTTGCTTTAATGGTGGAGTTTGCAACAATCACCAATTCTATGCGACCTGCCTCTGCACTACAGGATTCGTGGGTGTCGCCTGTCAAGACCGTGTGTATACATTTTTGATTTTTTTTTTTAAAATTAAATTGTACTATTTTATGGGATCCAAGTGGAGAGATTTATTGTCAATATACAGTACTAGGTACATACTAATAAATATTCTTGTGCAAGCTCACTAGCTAAATTCAACCCAAATTTTGTTTTGTGTGTTTACTAAAAATATATAAGCAAATTTTTCCTTTGGAAAGGATGCAATTGAAGGAATTGTATTAAAATATTCATTACTCTAAGTGTATCCTAACAGCAATACATGATTTAATATGTCTGCAAATTATATAAAAATGTATGTAACTTGCAAAAGCCTAAATGTATTTATATAAATTTATGTTTTATTAATACTAAAGTATACGTCATTATATCTAGAAGCTATTGACTGAACTAAAATTAGAATTGTAGGCTATTGTATATGTGTATTGTATCCCTGTCCAAACTATCAAATGTTCTTTGACAAAAATGACTTTGCATACTGTATAGTCAAACTTTTTAAATTTCAAGTTGATTAAATTATTATAATCATAGAATTTCATATTCGACATAGGCGATGGTGACTGACACAGCTGCATTGCTGTTTAAACACTTTGTTTATGAGGAATCAACAAATCAACAGATAAATATTTTTTTGAACAAGAAAGCAAGTGACTATCCAATTAAGGATGCTATTTGTGGCTATAGCAATGTGATGAGCTGAAGGTGGCAAAGGCTCTGGACCCTACCTCCCACCTTTTACAGCAATCACCAATTTACTTAATTACAAAACCAATTGAGTCTGCTGTAAAGCATGTATGCATCTCAAAATTTCAATCAGATAGTTCCAAAAGTACATAGTTAGGGCAGCTCAGCTTTTTTTTTGTGCATTGATAAATTGAAGAAAAGAGATAATCTAAATTGAAACCAGCATTATCCCTTTATTCTCTATGAATATTTATTTTATAAAATATTAGTTTGTCTTTTTTTAGTTGAGGTCTGCTACTCAACCAAGTAAAGATGATTTTAGCTCGTGAAAGTTAATTACAAAAGGCAAACACCGAGTTTCCTGTTGATGAAGAAATCAAAGTTTGGCATTATTTTCGATTACCCATTATATACTTGGAACAATAATGCCAAGGACAAAGTGATTGTCACTTACAAAATAACTTTGTCGCGGATATGATTAAAAGTGAATAGAGGAGTACAACAATGCATTTTGCTTGTTCAGTTGCACAAAAGTGCATATAACACCAAGTTTATTACACAAATAATTAATAAAATAGTCTAGAAAAAATTATAAATGGAGGATTTGATTAACAAAGAATACTATACACAGTGGTTTGATAAATTTTGAATCCGGATGAAATTATTTGAACATTCTAAAAGTTCTGATGCAGATTAAAATAATATTGTATAGTATAATATTTAAATGCTGGGGATGCAAAGTATCAGCTGTGATCCTGTGCATTGAAAGCAGATCTACTACTTGTCCGGATAATGGAAGTTATATATTTTTTTAGTTGGTTATTCAAAAATTGTATACCCTCTTCATGCAACAGCGACAACACCACTATATAAATGTCATTCTTTGAAACTAAGGATTACTGTAAGGAGTGGTCTACGATTAAAAGATATTTTGAATTTAAATACAGGATTTATTACCAAATAGCACATGTGTGTATACTATATGTATCTACTATATACCACAGTGATGCTTCAGCATATATATGTTTTATAGCCCTGGTTCTTAATAGGTGGCCCACGGGCCAAATTTGGCCAGGAGGCAATTTGTTTTGGCCCGTGAACAAAAACAAAATACATGGAAAAAAAGAAACATAATAAACTTAGGGATGAATACATTTTCAATTAATTAAAGACAAAAATGCAACCCCAGGTAATATGCACGGGGTGGTCTGTCAGATCAAATCTAAAAATAATTTGGCCCTAAATAAGAACCAGGTTTTTACAGTCTGATGAGGCAAAACCCATGTTGCTTAATAATTTCTCCCAAGAATAGAAATGGTTGAATATTGTGCATGGTTGATTCTGTATCCAGCAACCAGGTAAAAAAAAAGGAAAGGAAGGGTGCTGATAATAGTATATAAGAAATAAAGTTGAATATAGGCCATCCAAAACTTTTTTTTTACATTTTGTTTTTTCTAAATTCCTGAAGTTCTTCATCAGCTTTAGGAATTAGTTAGGTGTTTTTTCAAAATTTTATTTCAGCAATCAAAATAACTACCGGTAAGTTAAAAATCTATCCTTCTTGGTGAATTAACAATGATAGTATTCATTTAAGGTACTTGAACTAACTTATGTTTCAAGTATAAAGAATATAACCATGATTGTTATGCTAAACAATATTTCCATGGTCATTTGATATCGTACAGTATATGACCATGCACTTTTAAAAAGAGCCTACAAAACCAGTTTCACTTATAGACCTCTTTAACTAATAGCTGACTAGGGTGACGAACAATGCAGAGTTATGTATGTGTACCATCCAAAAACTGAAAGGTCCAATAATTAATCTTAGATAAGAAAGTATAATAGTATCGTAATACACGCAAAGATCTAAGTTGGTTGCCATAGGAAAGTGCCACCTTCAAGCTTAGTATACATATTACAACCATAAATAAGACCTCTGACTAAACTATTATTTCATTACGGTAATTATACAGTATTAATAAAGTAATAGACTAGCCTAGCCTAAAAGTGACCAAATGCATAGTATCTAAAACCAAAAGTACTGAGGAATGAAGATCGAAATCGTGTTCACTACACCGCAATAGCACAATGGTTGAGTTTTATAAAGGCAACTAAAAATTTTAATGTTAAATTGACGGTGCCATTGAAAACAATGCTTAGGCGTATTTTAATTGGCAGGTTTCTACGGCAGCCATTTTGTTGAGTACACACACACAGAGAGCTCTGCATGTTTAGAACATTGAATGCATCGTAGATAGCGCTCTAGTATTCTTTGATACTCTTTAACTCTATGGTGTCACTAAAATGTGCATACTGTACCACCAGCAGCAGCTAGCCGAGTTGCTAAAGTGGTGGTAGCGACTGTGAAAGACTATTAAGATATGTTTACTATTTGATACAGATACTGTTAAATGTTTCTAGTCTGACATTTGCAGTGGGTGTAAGTTTATAGTTAAAGAATTTCTCAGACAGCAACAGACTTTATACAGGTCTTTCAATATTCTTTTATCTACTTGATGACAATGTTGAAGCACTGATCTAAACAGAATAGAACAAAAAAGTTACCTATTGGCCCTAAAAAACAAGTTTCTAAAACAAACTTCCATTTTCTACAGTAATCTGTTATATTCCAAATAGTGATTTTTCCACTTGCATTTGAATGAAATATGTTGTATTAATTAGATTTTCCTTAAATTGATATTTTAATATAATGTACTTCATTTGTAGATTTTATTTTTGTAGATGGTTGTTAAATTGGTGTTAATTTTGAAAATTGGAACAGTACAATTCCTACAATAAATGCTTTTAAAAGTTTATTGCATAGTTACGATATAAATTACATTACAGTGCTGTTTAGGTTTTACTTGACTGAATTTCAATAAAGTAGTTGTCTCCTCAGTATTGTTATTCAAAGTTTAAATTTCTTTGAAGGGTAACAGTGTTTTTCAACTGTACCTTTTGTGATGCGTCATTATTATTGGTACCATTGAGTGCCTGCTATATTCTGGCAAATATGTCGGCCACAAACAATTGGACTATTTATTTAAAGCGAGTTCCTATCACACCTTCTAACTATGGCTATAAAAGACAACATGCTCAAACTCACAACACATTTATCCACTTATAATAGAAAATTGTTTTTCATTTTTAGCTGTTTCAGCGTGTGTGCCGAACCCTTGCCGTAATGGTGGAACTTGCAGTGATCTTGGTACTCCAACCAGGTTCACCTGTACTTGTCCAGCAGGTTTTACAGGGAACATTTGTACAGTGTGTAAGTGTTACCTGATCTTATACAAACACTGTATACTATACTTCTTTGTACTGTGGTAACTAGAACGTGACAATTCTTAATGATATCAGTTTTCAGATACTGAAGAGATTACAGTATTATAATTTGAATCTATAAGCTAGTATATAAGCCTTTCATACTTAAATATTTCTTTCCATTCAAATGTTCTATGTACAAAAATGTTCTTTTTTTACAGGTGGGCTCCTATCTTCAGATCTACTGTAGGTAGAGACTATAAAATACCCTCCCCACCAGAATTTACAAGATTATATTTAAACCTGTCCAAGCTATCAGATTTTTGTTTGACAAAAACATGTGACATGACTAAATATGGTCATGATGACATCACATCATGATCATATATAGGCACATCATGAACATATATAGGCATACAACAGTTTATTATTGTCAAAGAAAACTTGATAATCTAAACAGAGTTTTAGATCCTAGTAGAAATAATAATAATAATTCTGGATTTATATAGCGCCTCACGTTGACATAACCCCGAGGCGCTTAACAACAACAGAGAAGAATAAAAATTAATTAAGTTCAAATGATTGGTTTGATGATTATCAATAAATGTTATTATTACAATGCTTTGGTAATTGGAATTATTTCAAGGCCTGTTACTTTCCTATTCATCACAAATCCTTTCATTAAAGACAAGAGTCTTACTCCAGCCTCTTTAGCTCATTAAAAAAAAAAAATTGTTGTAGTCACAACAAAAATACAAAAAAAAACTAAAATGCCGAACATCAATTTCGTACATTTTGGGTCGGTCAGGCGTGGCCAACACAATAATATTTTTATCTTTCCTTTCATTTTCTTTCTTATAATTCGTATCTGTCTTTCAAATTTCATTCTTATATTTCTTATCATTTCTTTTCTTTTCATTTCTAATGTTTCCATGTCTATCTTTCCTTTCTTTTCTCTTCTCATATTTCCTTATCTTTCCTTTTTCCTGTCAAATGGAATACAAATATTGAATTTTTGTTCTTACCTTCACTGCTATAGTAATTGATGGATGCGCAGCATTTTCTGTTGATGAACCTTTCTGTATGAATGGTGGAACATGTACTGTAATCCAATCGCAACTAACTTGTGTCTGCTCTTCGGGTTTTGCAGGCACACGGTGTGAAAACGGTAGGAAACGCTACTCATTTTCTAATAATGAACCCTGTAATATTGATAATAATAATAATAAAAATAATAATAATGAAAATAATAATATTAATATTTAATAATAATGAAGTTCATAACAATAATAAACATAATAGGCCTAATAATAATAATATAGTAGTAGTAGTAGAGGTAATAATAATAAAAATTATAACATTTTGGGCTACAGTTTTTTTTAGGGGCATATTTTCTAAAACAGTATAATTTTTGTTGCTTGATGTGGAATCTAATTGGTTCATGGTTTATAATGAAAATGATTGCACTGCAGACAACAAGGAAGTAAAAAGGAACACTGGTCGGTTCACATTTACAAAGAAATGCGCCATGTTAACAGAAAAAAAATGAATGATGAATTATATTTGTGTGGTTGATTAAATGCTTTCAGAAGTTCAGACTTCTTGTTCAAGTCAGCCATGTTTAAATGGTGGCATGTGTGTAGTTAGAGATGATGGCAGTTACATTTGTATGTGTTCATCGGGTATTGTTGGAACTAACTGTGAAATTTGTAAGTAGGCCAATTCTTTATATTGAACATACTCATCAATAGCATGATCATTATTATCATCACAATGATTAAGACCAAAAAAAAAAAGAAATTCTTGTGTTAACCACGTTTTGGGAAAATCCAAAAAAATGGGTAGGTCGGTAGGAAAAGTCCCCCCCCCCCCCCCAAAAAAAAAAAAAAAACAAAAAAAAAAAAAAAAAAAAAAAAAAAAAAAAAAAAAATAAAAATTAATAATAAAAAAAAAAACAAACACACCAACAA